TTCATCGTAAACTTTCAATTCATCAAATTCGGCTCTAAACTTACTTAAATGTTATCAATTGTCACCATAAACTTTCAATTAATCAAATTTGACTCTAAACTTACTTAAATGTCGTAACTTTGGCCTATTATTCAACTTCTGCTTATACACCCACTCATTTTAATTACGGGGAATTGATTCAAATACCATGATGACCACCTATTTTAGAAATTAGTAATTCATGTGTGTTTCTCGACACCTGATCAAAATTTTTTAAAAGTCACAAACTTATTACATACCAAAGTAAAAATTTATGGGCTGATAGGTCTACTAAATTTTAAAATGTTGAATATTTCAAAGAATTGTTAGATATTTTTAAATAAGTTCATAGGCCTATTAGTTACAAAATTAAAAATTAAGGGACTAAATCTGTAATTTAATAAAAAAAAATATATTAAATGTGATTATAGTAATGTTTAGTTGTACCACTTTACTAATCATCACAATGCATATGTTTGAAATATATATTGTTAATTTTCCTCATAAATCTTGTATTGTTCCAGTCAATACCATATAATCCCCTCTTAATTAAAAGTATATAATATATCTTGGATCTTACGGTTGTAGGAAAATATGCCACGTAGCAATTAAATTTTGTTAAAGAAGTTTGAGATAATGGAGGCAATAATTTATCTCATATATTAAATGTGCATTTTGTTACAGCTAAAATAGTAATGATCAAATAGTAAAATTAATACAACAAATCAACAAACTGTATATATTTAATATTTATGGTAATTAATATCCATGCTCTATTATTAGATTATTTTGAAAAAAAAATTTCTCTATTATTAGATTATATTTATAGTTTTATTGATTTTAGGTTTCGTAACGTTCTCTTGTTTTGATTCTCGTTTCTATTTTTCTAAGAAAATCTAAACATTTTGCAATTAACTAGGTTTCTTGCTTTTTCTTTTTGAGAACATTCTCAAAATTTGTTCTCATTTCCAATTTGCTCAAAATATAAATAAAAAGATAAAATATATTTTGGTCCCTGTATTTTTTGTTTTGGTTTATTTCGGTCTCTATATTTTTAAAAATATTCAATTTGGATCCCATATTCTTTTAATTTTTGTTCATTTTTGTTATTGTAGTTTTAAAATGTTTGTTTTTATCCTTGTCTTTTTTAAAAGTGAACATTTTAATCCTTATTTGAAAATTTTATTACAAATTTTATACACAATGGAAATAATTTAATACAAATTTATGGCTACATCTACATTTAGTGAGTGATGTATGCTAAAATTAAATCCAACTAAATGATTTTACCAAGTATCACATTTAAAATGTATAGACCAAAATAACAAAAACTAAAAATTTAAGGACTAAAACAAACATGGTATGAGTCAAAATAAACCGAGTGAAAAGTCAAAAGTAGAAAGATAAAAATAGTTTAAATTCCGTCATATAGTGAAGTGCAATAATAAGAGTAAACAAACAAATTGAAAAAGAAAAATTGTAACTAAGAAAGAAAAAAAAACCATTATTAATGAAATATAAAGGCTTCAGAAATTAAAGGTCGGTAATATTATTGTTTCTCGAATTTATTTAAGAAAAAATATCTTTGATAATAATTTTTTTTGGTCCTAGAAATTGTTATAATTATTAGAAAAACTTGATTTAGTTGTTTTTAAAACTTCTATACATTTTTAAAAATTTACCTTAAAAGATGATAAATAAATTAACGTAAATTTACCAAACAGACCCTTACTAACTTTTTTATTTAAATTTATTCCAAAAGTATAGTTTATATTCAAAATAAGTTTAAAACTTCAATAATATTTTTGAAAAAATAAACAAAAAAAAATATATATCGTTACTAGAAACACTAATAATATAAACATTTTAAAAGCAAAAAAAATTTAAAAAACATGTTATTAAACTAAATCTTAGGTTTCTTGTCTCCATAATTGTTCTAGAAAATTAACAAAATTTACCTACTCTTATCATCTTTTAACTTGCAGAAATCTAAACAAATTCAAAAAGTTAAAACATATGACATAACATAATCTTGAATGTTTATTTTTTATTTTCAAAACTTAAAATGACAGACTTAAAAAATAAGACTCTAAATAGTAAATTTCACACAATTATTCTAGAGGGAGAGAGAAGGATTTTACCAAACTGGCCTTAAAATTCACACATTTCTTCTAGAGAGAGAGAAACATTTTACCAAATGACCCTATTTTCACTAAATATTATTTTTCTTTCTAACAATGACATGAATTCTTGCAAGAAAAACATGCAAATATTTTTTTTTTTTGGTGTTTTGTCTCCATCAATCTCTCTCACACACAAACCCAAATTTGCAGCTTTCTTTCCCATTGCCAAAAAAACCTTGAATTTTCCTAAATATTCTCTTTCAAGCTTCACCTTTTTTATTTTATTATTTTCTTTTATCAATTTATCTAAATCAAACATACACACTATAATAGTTCTAATAAAATATTTATCCACACATTGATATTTTTTAAACCATGGACCTGAAATTTATCACTATTTCAAATATACATTTTTTTGAGGTTGGAAGTTTCAAATATTCCCCAAAAATGCCTGTTCCTTTGTCGTTCGGTCCAAAATCTTGTATCGAGAATATTACTACTTATAAACATAAGTAACATAAAATTTCTGTTAAAAAAAAACAATGTATAAAGTCAGGTTATATTTCAAGAAATATGTTGAGTGTAATGTCGTATTGAAATTTTGATGGAAAAAATGAGATCAAAAAATAAAATGGAGAGATCAAAAGAGTCACTTTTTAAAAGTACAGTACCAAAACGAGTATTTTAAAAATACAAGAAATAAAATAAATCAAAGTTTAAAGTACAGAGACCAATAAAATATATATGAATAAAAATGAACCAAAGCTGAAACTACGAACCAAACTAACATTTTAACCACTTTATAAGTTGTTCTAAAAATATTTTTCGGCATCGACAATCTATGATATTAAAACCTTCGACATTCCGACATCTACATATAAATAAATAGCAAGTCGTTATGTGTGTATATTATTTTATTTAATCGAACAAGTAATATGGTACTTATAAATCAAATGTAGCTTCATGTTGGTTTTACTAATTCTTGTGTATCAAGTTCTCAATAAGATATGAAATTTGAACTACAAGTTTCAATAATAATCTTCAGGTGGGATATGTATGTAGCTTCATGTTGAAGAGTTTTTGTTGCTGCAATAATTAATTTATTATTCCAATTAAATGGGCAGAGGCAAAATTTCTAGAGGGCTGAACCATTTATATATAAATATATTAATTTTGGTGTAAAGTCAATCCTTTTAAGACAATGAAAGATCAATTATTTGGTGAATTGCTCCATCGTAGGAGGTTTGGATTGTGACTTTCTTTTTTTTTTTAGGTTAAAATATCATATTTGTTTACGTAATTTTAACTTTGATTCATTTTTGATTTATAGAGTTTCTAAACGTTCGTTTTGGTTACTGTATTTTTTGTTTTTGTTTATTTTAATGTTTGCACTTTCAAAACATCCGATTTGGTTTGTATACTCTTGACAAGTGATTAATTTGGTCCCTATTTTAAAAATCTTAACCTAAATTCGATAGACAATGGAAACATTTTAAATACAAATTTATGACTATATTTCAAGAAATTTATTGAGGAAAGTGTCATTTTAAAATTATGATCGAAAAACAAATAAGATAAAAATGAAAATGAATGAATTAAAATGATTATATTTTAAAATGCATGGACCAAAATAGACGTTTCGTAAGTACATGGACTAAAATAAACAAAAGTTGAAAGTATAAAACAAAAATAAACATTTTGAAAGTATAAGAACCAAAATGAACCAGTGCTGCGTAAAATACATTGACTAAAATAGTATTTAGACGTAGTTTTTACTCTCAATATATATTAATTAATTAAATCTTGGCTAAATACAACGACAATATTAAAATTACAGTAATAAATTTATTAATGAAATAATGATGTGGTACAAAAATATTATTTTTTAGGAGCTAAATGTGCACGTGGAATCTAACTTCTCACGACTCTCTAACTACAAATTAAGGATACAATAATCTCGTTAATGTTTTTTAAAAAATGTATTGAATTTTTAATTTAAATTTATAAAGTATATAGAAGAAAATAGCCCCCAAGAGGTGGTCGTTGGTAAAGACATAGGATCTTCTTGTCATACCAATTTAAAGGTCTCAATACCAAAAACCATTAATGTCTCATAGATGCGGGTGACCCCGAGTATAGAGGAGCATAAATTACTCTTTTAAACAAAAATAATATATTAACTTAAATAACAGCACCAATCTAATTGACACCTGTCTCTAATTAAAAGGCGGTGAATTCAAATCCCCACCCTCAATTGTTGTTGTATTCCAAGAAACAAAAAACTTAAATAACAAAAATAGCATCTTTTTAAATCCTATGAAAATGACTTTAGGGGCCGTTTGTTTTTTGGGAATGTACATGTCTGACATCTTCAGATGCCTGAAATCATGCCCGAAATTTTAGATGTCCGGAATTTCAAATAACCACGTTTGTTTTCTAGGAAAATTTATAAAGATATCTAGGAATATTTTTATAACTATGTTTGTTTTGCAAGATTTATTTATGAGAATATTATAAATCTATGTAATGTTCCAAAAATGTCCTTATCCATCATCATATAATTTAGATGTTAAATTTAATATTATTTGAATTTATATAAAAGTTTTACTTTTATTAATTTAATATTATATTTTTATGTCAATTTTAGTTTATGTTGGGTGACTATTAGAAAAGTAAAATAAACAAAAGATTGCATCCTAGATTTAAATTAAAAACAAATTAAAATATTATACCATTGACTAATGTTTATTTTATATCTAAATGTCGCTTATAAATAAAATTATATTTAGACATTTATCAATGAATTAGTGCATACATTTATTTTTAAAATAAGATAAAATAAATGAGAAATAAATATTATTGATGAAAAAATATTATAGAACAAAAATGACGAGGGACAAAATTGTCAAAAGAAGATGCCCTCAACACGGGAATCTTTGAAATCCATGTTACAGTGTTTAGATGCCTCGATATTCTAGGATGTCCGAGAATCCAATATTCCTATCAAACAAACACAGACATCTGGATGACCATCCCAGATTCCTACCTAGGAAACAAACGGCTTGCAATTTCAAGCTGCTTGAGTTCGTACTCGTCGCCATGTGTCTGATCTCCTTGATCGGAAGACCTCTGAAAGATGTATCCTCGTTATTGATGACACGAATGACTTCCAAATCGTCCGATTCTACAATAATTCCGTTGGGTTCTTTCCGTTCCTTGCTAAAGCATCAAAGGAATTGAAAGTGTTTCAATCCACCAAAATTTCAGCTCTCTACGGCTGCCAAAATGTTGTTTGATGTATCACAGGATAAAACAAGATAAGCAAACTCATAGCTCTCAAAGATTTGTTTACCTATCACCAGCCTTTAGTCCAGGCATCTTCTAAAAGAGATTCATCTTGTTTCTGTTGAGAAAAACATCAAAAGAGCGTTTCTTTTAACAAAATACGAACTTCTCAGTGATAAAATGAAAAGATACAACAAACTTTCAAAGCAAACGAACCCCAAAAAGAAGTGAAACCCCAAAAAGAAAAGAACATACAAAGCTCCACAAGGTCTCAAAGAACAATAAAGAAGCGCAAGCCTGCCAAAACATAGAATTATGGACCAACAAAGATAAGGAAAACATCAAGTACTATACAAGCCATTCATATGCGTTTATGTTCTCGTCTCTGTTTGTCAATAATTCTCACTCTCAACTATAAAAACAGGTCAAACGTCAAAAAAGAAAAAAGGAGAATTGAACCACTGTCCATAAAGCCTAAGATGAAACTGAAAACACATATTTGTACAGAAATACAAAATACAATTGTTAAATTTTTTTTGGAGGAAGAGATATTTCCTTTCCAATAAAGGTAGGTACCACAACAGGGACCAATTGTTAAAAATATGCCCAGCAATAAAAAGGGATAAGATGCTTAAAGAATCAGTAGCAATTGTTAGAATCCATATAAATGAATTAAATTTACCCAACCTATCAGCTTAAGCTTTTGGGTTGAGTGATGGTTTATTCATTCTTAAGAGCAATCAACAATTAGGCCAAGTTTTCAGCTTGCACAAATTTACTCGTTTGACCAACCATCATATCGAAAATTTAGAGCAACAAATTAGAGGTAACACCTTAAAATCTTTTCTTAACATTTTGATATAATTTTTAAGTCTAAAACGAACTAAGAGGGGGACGAGGACAACCTTTCTTCTTTGCTCGACCACTGCTTCTCTCCAGTGGCCATATCAAGTGGTTTATTGGGTTGACAGCAATTCCAGATTAAGCAAATCTCTCTTTGATTTTCGTTCCTATTAGATATTCAACCACCAAACGAGGAACTGAGGAAGGACAGAATAACCTCTAAAGTAGATAGCACCATCGACAGTGTTGCCCAGTAGTAGATTTGTCTGACACAAGTCAGAGAGGGTTTAGAGCAAACATTTTCACCAAAAGAGCCAAGGAAGAGGAGAGTGAAATTCTACAAAACTACTACGCACGATTCTATGATGAACAGAGAAACTTACAATCGAAAGCATAAACTCCACTGTTCTGTGCTTGAGAGTTGAGATTTGAGAGCAACAATCTCCACTCCAACTTCAAATGTCCAGAGAGAGGATTCTACCTTAAAGGCGTTACGAAAATATCGAGAAAAGAATTGACGGTTATTAACAGTAAACTATAGTCTTTTTACAGAGTAAAAAAAAAAGGAAAGAAGAAGAAGAGGAAAGAAGAAAAGTTGACGCTTAATAAAGTGTAAAAATTGTCAGGGTTACAATTTCAATTCGGTGGATATACAAATTGATAGCTTTTAACTGTTCTTCAGGAAAGTTATGCATTTAAAGGGAGATATTTATTTTAAATTGACATCAAACGCTTTTGACTGAAGATTAATAAAGGCCAAACTCGTAGTAGTGTAGTGTCATGTCCATTGCACCAAGTTGTGCAACAAGAAAAGGTTTAGTTTCTTGTATATGTGCCAATGAAATTTGAAATAAAATGCACATATTTTTTTTCCCTTTTTCACCTGGATAGATGAAGAAGAACATTGGACTTAATAGGTAAAAAGCTAACTGAAAAATACTTCAAATAAATTTATAACAGAGAGTAGACATAAAAGAACCTTTCATCTCAAATTCACAATGGTACACCTCCTGCCTGCTCATATAAAAGGAAGTAAACAGTCAACTAAATCTACAGAACCCAATTTCCAATGGAAAAGGGAGGGAAAAATTACAAAATATATCTCAAAGGAGAATTAAGATCAGAAAGAAGATGGCTAATTGGAGGTCTCATCAAGACAAGCCTAGATAGTTCTATAAATTGAAGCAAGACTAAACCACGTAAAGCCGATGGCTAAGAATTCAATATGACCAAAGCTAGAAATTGAATTCTCATTTTTCTTTATATCTAAGAAGCACGGACATGGACACGGACACGACAGGACACGGCGATACGTCAATTTCTAAAAAACTAGGACACGGACACGTTGGGGATACGTTGTTTATTTATTATTTCTTTTAAGATATAGGTAAATTTAACATAAAATGGAAAATATACTTCACTAAAAAGCATAAATGTCAGAGTCAATTTATTGGGTTGAAGATGTACCCCACTAAAAAGCATAAAAATATTAAATGTAATCCACTAAAAAAATCCTAGAGAAGATTTGAATTTGATTTCCTAATTTAGTAAAACATATTCTACTATAGTTTAATTCATATGAAATTAGGAAAAAAAAAGAAAAGTAAGAATAGAGCTTATTTAATTTAACTCACAAACAGAAGGGTGGGTCACAAGGTAGCATTTTAGGGTTTTTTTTTTTTGTTGTAGTTTAAGTTTGTGAGATTTCAGCTAGACTTCTTGGGCTTGCAAAATTGGGCTAAGGAAACAACATTTTTTTATCTGGCATGTCCCTCCCGTGTCCCCACATGTCTGAAATAAAAAATATATATATATATTGGGACACTTCAAATTGCGTGTCGGACATGTGTCCGGAGCGTGTCCGGACCTATCCGTGTTCGACACAGATACTTCTCCTTTTTTGCCGTGTCCGTGTTTTATAGCTTTCTATTTACAACTTACAAGAGTAATAAACATCAAGAAAGTAATCCTATAATCATCACTCTAATCTTCAAAGACTTATAGTTTCATTTTTTCATTGCACAAGAACAAAACCACTTTACCTTTTGGGGGAAAAAAAAAACAGATTCAACCACCCAATGTCTTAAAGGATAAAACCACATAAAGGACCAATAATAACAATATAAAGTATAGTTATAAGAATAAATCATAATGCTTCTACTATCCATGTTGGAAAAACATGAAGTAGTACCTTAAGGATATCAGAGTCCGAGTTGAACTTCTGAGCTTGTTGTAGAGACCTGCTAATAAAAAAGTCTCCAATATGTTGAACAACAGCTAGAAAATATCAAATAAATTTTCTATAATATGCATATATTTCATTGACACTCATATAACAGAGCTCATAATAATACCTTGCAGTTCAAAAGGAAATTGCTTCATAAGTATGCAGCATCTTTGAGTGAGTGGGGTGTGCCAAACGGCTGAAGATCGTTTAAAGTCCATAAATAAAACCACATATATGGAGGAGAATTTGTAGTTTCAGCTATCATTACCTTCACATGCATCAAATGTATATTATAACCAATTATTTATTTTGTAATCCATGAGACTGCGGATGAGGATTCAAATGCAAATAGTAAGAGAAAAATGAATCTGTGCAAAAACATACCTGGATAAAGTAACAAAGTTTCAGCAGGCTCGAGCAAGCTTCCTCAATATCAAATACAAGAAGCAGACTTCATGATAGATTTGATAGATAAGCCACATCACCAGAAATCATTACATGAGCAAGCACCACTCTTAAAATGGTGGAATCTATGAACATCACGAACAACTATTTCCCGATGGGTGATACTTGACATGAGCTTCATGACATCATGGCAGTCTCCACAAATACGTAGATTTTTAAAAATACGAATTTTTCTCATTGTGCTGGTACTTATAAGTGCAAAAGCAAGGGCCAATCTTTCACTGTGAAATCGAAGGTATTCCCTTTTCTCTGTTTCACCAATATTATGAAGCACATATTCAGTTTTGGGCACATACCCTAAGGAAGTCAGTTTTCTATCAAGATCCTCTAGCTTTAGATGTATTTCCTGAATTTGTGGATGTGAACAATCATGAGACACAAATACATGAGCTTGACCATTATCCTCAACCCAGCTACACCCTGGCTCCTTTTTAACACCTTTACTAGACATCAAAGTCCTAACTTTTATGACGTCATCCCACCTTCCTTTGGTCGCAAGAATATTTGAGAGTAATATATAATTTGTCTCCTTCTCTGGTTGAAGCTCAAAGAGTTTGTTTGCAGCTTTCTCACCAAATGCCAAATTGCCATGCATTTTACTAGCTCCAAGGACAGTCTCCCATATCAGTGCATATTGTGATAGTTGCATTTTTTCAATGAAGTCTTCAAGCTCATCAAATTTTCCCACACGACCTAGAATATCTACCATACAAGCACAATGATCCACAGTAGGAGAAATACCAAAATCTCTATACATAGAATTAAAATGTTTTTTCCCCTCTTCAACTAAGCCTTGGTGACTGCATGCAGAAAGAATTCCTATGAAGGTGACCTCATCAGGCAATATGCCTTCATCTAACATCGTCATAAAGGCCTCAAGAGCTTTATTTCCTTGCCCATTTTGTGAATATCCACATATAATGGTGTTCCATGCAACTGTATCTCGCCGAATCAAACCTTCAAATAATGTCTCAGCTTCTTCCATACAACCGCATTTTGCGTACGTGTCAACAAGCGCACTACCGACAAACATATCACTTAGGTGTCCACTCTTAAAAGCCGTGGAATGTAGTTGTTGTCCACCTTCTAGAGAAGCCAAAGAGGAGCAACCACTTAAACAGCCAGCAAGAGTGAACTCGTTTGGCTTTATACCTTCTAGTTGCATTTGTTTGAAATAATTAAACGCCTTTTCTCCCTGGTTTTTCTGTGCATGACTAGTAATGATAACCGTCCAAGTAAAAAGATCTCTAGCACTTAACCTGTTGAAAGCTAAATCAGCATCTTCCAAGCACATACACTTGGCATACATGTCAATAAGAGCTGTTTGAACAAAATCATTATCGTCCAGGTTATTTTTTATTATATGGGTATGTACTTGCCTCCCAAAGTACACATCTAGAAGACAAGAACACGATCTCAAAACACTAATAAAAGTATACATGTTCGGTGCAAACCATTCCTCTAACATGTGACAGAAGATAGCAAGTGCTTGATCATACATTCCAGAATCATGAAACCTAGATAAATATGTGTTCCATGAAACCAAATCTCGGTCCGTCATGGATTCAAACAACCTTGCACCCTCATTCACACATCCATTTTTCATGTACATTGTGACCAATGCATTATTGACTGACACATTGGTTTCAAATCCATATTTCCAAACACAAGCATGGATGCTTCGGCCATATTTCAAGTCCCCCAAGTTTGTAGCAGCACTTACAAGGCTGCAAATAGTGTAATGGTTTGGTCTAGTACCACTTAATCTCATCAGGTGAAATAACTTGGTTGATTCTTCACTCTGTCCTTGCTGATCAAGGCATGTAATCATGGCACTCCAAACCACTATATCAGGCTTCTTAATCTTCTTAAAGACTTCTAATGCATCAACTGCAAGCCCACACTTTGAGTACATATCAACCAAACCACAACCTAAGAATTCGTCGCCTTCAAACCCACATTTGATAATCAACGAATGGACTACCTGCCCCTGTCTCAAACTTTTGGAGTTTGCACAACCCTTGAGAACGGTAGTTAAAGCGAATTTGCTACACTTCACATCTGATTCCATCATACCACAAAATAACTTCAAGACTCCTGTCCCATCACCCCCTTGAGCGTAACCATTGAGTAGCACATTCCATGTCACAGCATTTTGCTGGGGCATGTTGAAGAACATTTTAAACGCAAGTTCCATCTCGTTACATTTAGCATAAAGGTCAACAAGTGCAGATCCAACAAACAAATCTAGTAATAATCCAAATTTAAAAGCTTGTGCATGCATCTGCTTTCCAAGTTCTAAAGCCACACACAAAGAACATGCTTTTAATCCAGTAGCCAGAGTGAACTCATTGGGCATGATTCCTTCCCTTTGCATTTCCTGAAATAAATAAATACTGTCATTAGCATATCCTTCTGCTACAAGACCTTGAATTAATGCCGTCCAAGAAACAACATCCCTATCAGGCATTTTAGCAAGCACTAATCGAGCATACGAAGAGTATCCACACTTTGCATATACATTCACCAATGAAACCCACAAATGGGAATCTGGATTAATTATTTTCTTCACAACAAGCCCATGAATGGCTTTTGCAACACCCAAAGACCGTTTTGATGCACATTCATGCAACATCCTTGAATAATATTTCAACCTCTCCTTGTTATTCAAGCATACTCTGCTTTCCATGACATCTTCAGTCTTTTGGTGTTCAAAGTTATATCCATATGAGAAATTCTGAACTTCATTCTTAAATTCATGACCAAATTGACCTTTTGACATTGAAATTCCAATAAAGTCGGAAGGATACCTGGAATCTAGTAGTACTTTGGAAATACTCTGTCGAATGGGTAAGAACAAAGATCTAGTAGTATTTTGAAACTTCCTGGGAAATTGAGGTGAACTGTGTAACCAACTAGATATCAACAGATTCTGAAACCCGAGAGGTGAACCATGGATTCTCATAGCAATGAAGTTTCGTTCCATCAATTTAGATTTGAATTAATCCTACAACAAAAACAAAATTCATTAAACATCCATGTAAAGAAGGAAGCTCAAGTATAGAAAGAACAATGGCATATGCAGAGCTAATTCCATTGAAGGTTTTTATCATAAAGAACATCTCTGTATCGTTCCAATTTTATCAGATGCCTCCGGAGAGACTTTATCATAAAGAACATCTATGGGTACCAATGTAATAATTGTACAAAATTCATCTTGGGAAATAATAAAATATGCATGATTCATGATTGTGTGAACAAGCAGAGTGAAAGGCGCAACAGATAGAAGCTATTTGGAGATAACAAGCCATGCGCACTTGGTTCTAAGGACTGATTGACAAAATGACCGCAACATAGAGAATTGACTATCCCATAAGAAAAAAAAATTTATGTGGATAAACTTTTGTAAGGATCTTGATCTTCGAAATCTGATTCGTCATCCTATCCAATTTTGCGTTTGTACTTGATGGAAAACATTTTACAATTTTATGTGTGACTTCTTTTCCCTTCTACATTAACTTTATACCTCGACTCTCCACAAGGTAGACAATGATCTAGTGATACACATTCTTTCCAGAAATACAGCACCATTGTACTTAACACACTGAATTATTCATATCTCATACTCAATTCATATTGTATCTTCTTTGTATCATAGTATGAAGTAATTTCACTGGTACATGCAATTTCTTGTTTATATTTATGTTATTTCCAAACTTTCAAATAGAAAGCAAAAAAGAAGGATGCAATAAAGAGTCTTTGTGACTATTTACCTAAAACTTCACCATAAAGCTGTTGATGCTTGTACTCCCTACAAATATAGGAGGGAGATAAACAAATAAATAGTTTACGCATCAAGTTGCTAGTGAAATTTGATCTATGGCCTAAGAAGCACAGAAGGTTGTGTGAGAGTTCTAATAGGGATATATTGAAAATATTAGTTGTGGCATTATGATAATTATTTAGGGGTAAATTGGATATAAATAGGGGTAGTAGGGAGAGAAGATGATAATATGTTTTGGAATAGTCTAGTGTAAGGGAAACTAGGGAGAGAGACAGTCCTCTCGAAAGGCTATTGATATTTCGTCTTTGATATTGCAATATAGTTATACCGTTACTTTCTTGTAATGGGGAGCCTAAGAGGTTGTTCCAAAAAGAATCCCCAATTTGCCAACTGCTTTGATGTCATAAATAAATATGACACCAAAAAAGATCCTAAGTGGAGACCGAATTGGGACTGCATCGGAAGAAATAGTGCCAAGAACTCTTGCAGCTTTTTCAACATCTGCAGCTATATTTAACCGCATGGAATGTTTCTATGAAGAAAAATTTTTCATCACATTCAATATTTCCTATAGGCCTTATAAATAGACGTGAAATTAAAACTCCATGAAATTGATGGGCCGGATTATCTTCACAGTAGCATAAAGGAAAAGTCCCTAAAAATTTTGAAGTATTTCCATTGGGAGCTTTGTCATGGGGGTTTCCATACGAATGGAAGAGTTCAAAGGAGAATGTCTTACTGCTATTTATCTCCCAGTTGGTGCGCATTATGTAAAAAGGATTTGGAGACCCAAAGGCATCTCTTCATTCATTGCCCGTTTGCCCACAATTTTTGGTCAAGGATAAATGAAGCTGATAGGTCCCCGATTACTGAAGTATATGTACATAAGAAAGTAGGGGGGCAGGGGACACGTAAGGAATAGGAGGGCACACGGTTATTTTGGTGGGCCCAAAGGAATATAGTTAGTTAGGAGGCTATATACCCTGCTGTAGTGGGAGAGTGTTTTTCATCTTTTTAGTATCTTTTGTGTCTAGGCTCTTGTTGAGCATTTCTGGGAGAGCAAGGGACTCTTGAATTTCCCTAGTTTGAATATTGTTGCATAAATGAAGGTGGAATCTACCAAAAAGCCTTCGATTCTACCTGAGCAGCTCCCCACAAAATTCAAGAGAATCAAGACCCCCTTGTCAGCACTTTAATTGGCCATCCTTTAAAGGATGTTAAGAAGTCTGTTTGGTCACATATTGCTATGCCTTTCTTTTGGGAGCTTTGGCGGAAAAGAAACAACCACTTATTCAATGATAAGGCATCATCTTTTGATGTTCTTTTTGAATTAATCATATTTAGTGCTTCCACTTGGTGTAAACATCTACATCCTTTCAAGGATTATAGCATTACAATTACTAATCTCATTGCAAGGTGGATCAGTTTTTTGTAAGCCACCTATAAGTGGTTGGAAGGTCTTTCCTTCCCTTTTGTATTTTACATTATATGAATGAAATCTCAGTTTCCATCTTCAAAAAATAAAAAATAATAAATTCAGGGTAGCTATATGTCAGGAGTATAATCAGTGAATTTGCTTAGTTTTTAACCATAGATGCTTTTTCCCAGAAATATGCAAGAGATTATCGTATTGCAAACTGATTCAAATAACATCAAAGTTTTGGTTGAAGGAACAGGATGCAACCATAAACCACAAGGATCTTTCCTGTCAGTATCATTTTCTAGTTTGCATAGAAAAAGTCAAATAACCAAAGACTGCATATTGTAGAATGTAGATAACAAGTGCAAGAACAGGAAAATAGGACAAGACTTACCTGCAGATATCCAGTTGGAAGAAATGGCCTAATGCTCTACCTCTAAGGTTACAAAGTTAAAACCATCTTTTAGATTTGTAAAAAAAAAAAATCATTTAAATTCTTTATTTTCAAGAAGAGGCTCAATAATCTAAGTTCACAATGATCTTAAAACGACCATAAAGTAATATTCTTGTTAGAAAAACCCAATGAGAAGTACTCTGAGAGGAACAATAAATGTTTGTCGATAATGGATTGCACACGCACAAAATTTCAAAATTGAAAACATAATAATTTTTCTAATTTATAACTTTTTTGATAGAAGCTCCAAACGCAACAACTAAGAATACACAATGATAGGTAAGGTAGATAGCAAACGGTTTTTCCAACCAAAGTATTGTTCAAACTAGTTCAAGCATCAATAACTTCCTCCTTAAAGAGTGTAAGATCGAATCCCTAACCATTAGTTTGAATCGTGATACTCAAAAGAAAAGAAGATAGCAAACACAATTTAAAGGTAAGAGACAGTTTTCATGGCAATAACAAACTTTAAACTTTTCTAAACAGTTTCCAAGAAAGAGGTAGAAGATTACCTTTTCTTATTATGACTCCAGAACCCAAATGAGCGGTAGTAACATCAATAGCAGAGATGCCAGATGTAGCCTTTTGCTCCAAAAGACCTCCCACGTGAGTTCAACGACTCTTTGGAAGAGCTTTCCTCTACAAAGAAGAAATGGGTAAGTTGAAAACGGTGAAACAAGTGGGAAAAATTGTAGATTTCACCAAAAAAAAAAATGGAGGGGGTGATGGACTGAAACGAGAATTATCAACAGAGCACAATTCATAAAAATGACAATCTAAAATCTTCAACCTTACCAGTCTGAGGAGGATGAAAGAAAAAATAAATAAATCAATGGTGAGACGAAAGCTTGAGAGGTGGTGTATTATCCATTATGCACATGAGCTGAAGCTAGAATGGAGGAAGAGAGGGAAATGAGTAAGGACTACAGAGAGAGGACTGAAATGAAGTTGGAGATATTATTTTGCAATATAAACAACAACAATGATAAATAAAAGCAATTTTTTTAAGAAAAAAACAAAGTGGTAAATACGAATGAGTGGGAAATTAACTCCAGAAAGATTACTTTTTTTTTAGATCAAACAAGTGAAACATTAGACAAAAAAAAAGTTCCTAATATCTTTTTTTGTCTGAAAGGTTACTTTTTTTTTAAGTTATAGCAAAAACCCGAAACCGAACGAACCGTTGGAAGGTAATATATCATCATTATGGTTTGAAGAACCCGTTGGGTTTCGGCATCAACCGATTTCGGGATAAACAACAATAGCGACAGATTTAACTGACGGAATTCTCACCGAGAAAAAAGGGAAACCGTGAATCAGACGATACGATTCGATGCAGTAACGGACATGGCCGAGCAAATCGATCCAAGGGTTCAGACATTCGATCCAGTCGCTCGAAGGTC